CACTGGGTTTTTTCCTTCCGTTTTTGGGTTGGGGGGCCCGGCCCCCCCCCCCCCCTCACTGCCAGAGCTGCTCATCCTCTCCCGGACTCCTTCTCCCCCTCCCTCCGTTTGAGGTCCCGGACTGTAACGTTTCAGTCCCTGCATTTCAGATGACGTTGAGGAAAGACGCACGTGAAAGGAAGCACGCTGCCAGTCGTGTCAAACTCTGGTAGGGTTGTCCAAACATTTCCACGTGCCACATATGTGACAATGCAAACAGTATATTTTATTTTAGGATACGTGGGTCCCTCCTGCTGGTCTCCTTCAGCATTTTTTTTCTTTATTTTTACACTTTTATATCTCTAATATGCTAGATCTAACAACTAATGTCTCCTGTCCCCATGCACAGACGCAGCCCAGTATTATTAGTTATTAAAATAGGTCAAAGGGTATAAAAAAAAGGATTTTATTTATTTATTTTTTTACAATTTTATCCACCATGTTGAACAGCTGTCTGTTAAGCATCTTTTGTCCAGATGTTGTAAGTTACCATTCACATATGCGGTGAATAGTGACTAAACTTTATGATTTCCATTTTTGTTGTTAGGCAAAAACACTTTGCAGTTAAAAATTATGAAGTTATTTCATGCTGAACATGCTGTTCTTTTGTTAACATTTCAGCCTACACCATGTTGTTGGTGGCTTTTACCCTACTGAACATAACTTACACAATGTACACAATGTACCATAGCTTTTCTGACATCTTGTCCCAGTAACTCAAATCACACAGGTTGAGGAAAAATTCCTGATAGTGTTCTCTTTTTAAAAAAAATTACGGTAGATGTTTTTAAAGCGATAGTTAAAAACTTTGAAGTGAGGTTCTATGAAGTTTATCTGGAGTTAAAGTCAGTAGATAACTCCCCTGATTTAATGAAAATCCAGATTAATTGAAACTGGAGGTTGAAACTAGCAACTAGGACCAAATTTAAAATGAAAAAAAAAAAAAAAAAACGTAAGAAGTGTTAAAAACTAGTTTGCATTCGCTGTTTTCTTCTTGAAACTGTCGTCCTATTTGCATTGGATTGTTTTTTTTGTTTTTTTACAGACCAATCAGTGAAATTTTACATAAAAAAAAAAAAAATTGAGGTTGGAGGCAGTGCGTCACAATTGATCTTCCTGACTGAAACAACAGAACTGACAACAATAGTCTGCTTTGGTCTCAGCCCCTCTTGGACTAGCTGTTCGCTTTGCCCTCCAGGACCAACCAATCTGGATTGAAACTAAACAACAATGACAACAACTCCTTAATTAAAAAAAAAAAAAAAATCAATTTAAATGACATCATTTACTTAACGCTGCATTCACGGGGACAAGTGCCTGTGTCTACCCGAGCTAGCACTATGTGAAGGCTTACAAATCACAGACGGACAAGTGTGTTTTAAGA